TATAATTAATTTTTCTTTTGTTCAGAGTTGAAGATAAACTCTCCCAATGAAGACTCTTCAAACACGTCATTCCGAAGGTCTCTAATAGCTTTAAGATGGTTAATAGGCAATTTCTGAAAGTGATCAGAAAATGAGGTTTGCGAACTTAACATCCTTTAAAAGGCTCTGCCATGATTGTGAGCAAAATGGCTGATCCTGTCATCTCCTGGCATTCAAACCTGTGGAAAACCACTGTCTGTGGTCTCCTTGCATGGAGATGTCTGGAGCACAGGTGGGCACTCTCCCATCCTCTCCTAATCTGTAGAAGTTCCACTAAACTGGTCTTTGCCACGGTCATCAGCTCTGCTTTCACAGAGTTGTTTTCAGTTCACCATACCTCACCTGGAGGCCAGAATGAATTTCTTGACTTTTATTAGGAATTCTATACGTGTGATTTAGTTTTTCCCCTTTTCTACATGGGTGATCTAGGTTTTTTCCCTTTCCCCAAATAAAATCTTTTTTTTTATCTGAGCCCTTGGCTATCTACTTTAATAAAGGAATTTCTATCACATGCAGGATTGCATATTTGCCTGGCTCCCTTCTGTTCTCTTGAAAATCTTACAATTTGTAAATTCTGCATTTCCTGGAGTTGGACAAGGAAAACTAAGGTACGTTTCTCATTATTATTTCCTAGAGCCAGGCAGGTAGTAAGAGCTTGAGCAGAACTATTCAACTCAACATGCTAGAAATATTAGAAAGTGCTACAAAGCTGATGGAAGTATATTGCAACTTTTTCTTTTAGAAAAAGATGTCTACCAGTATAGAAAAAAACAGACCTCCTCCCAGAATTACAACTACCTCCTTGTTTTTTCAATCTTAACGATGGAAGTATATTGCAACTTTTTCTTTTAGAAAAAGATGTCTACCAGTATAGAAAAAAACAGACCTCCTCCCAGAATTACAACTACCTCCTTGTTTTTTCAATCTTAACCATAAAAACTCTTCATGCTTCTTTCACACACAGTTACTCATTCTCTACTTAGATGCATACCACAAGCTGATGTTTCATTCGAAAAACAAACCAGGTTTGAAAACCAGAAGGGCAGAACTATATTTTGCTTTAAACCAAAAAAGGAGGGTGATAATCACTCAGCAAAAGGGAAGCAAGGGATGTGTAAACCATCTTGTCATATTGCGTTAATGTTCCAATGTCATACCTTATTATGGTTTTGATACCCAGACTAGTTGTACTGCAGTTAAAAAATAGGATCAGCCAGTCAACCATTCCAACAAGCAGTTGAGTTTAACTGACTAACATCAGGCTCTATAATAAATCTGAGCCCTTCTCCATTAAACCTATGTAAAGCTGGTAGACAAAAACTTGTAATTATGATCTGCAGGGTTTTCAAACTATATATTTCAGTGTGGGCTGGGAGGTTGTTCATCCACAGTTCACTAAGAGGAACAGTGCTTTTCTCCTAATTTCTAAGCTCTAAAAAAGTTTTTAGTGTCACTATGTATTTAGTTGAGCTGGGTTATAGTAAAGCATAGGCATCCACAATGTACCTGTCACATATATCAGGGCCCCCTGATTTAGCGGAATATATAAGCCTAGCTATTCTCTCAGACTGGATATATGAGCTACCTCAAAGTATGAGAAACTGGAAATTAAAAGACCAATATGTATACTGGCACTTGTAAATTTAATGACCAGTTTGCACATACATTTCTCTTATGCCCACAGGACTAGTTTGCACAAAAGTTTCCTTTATGTAATAACCTTCTTTATGGCCTATGGAATTTTCATGGTATTTTATGTTGCATAATCAAGGCTGCACACTAAACACTTTATCTTATTTTGCACCAGATCATTAAATCCTTTCACATTAAATCCCCACAAGAAGAGATTAAGTGTCCCTTGATCTTGCCCATCTACCAGGATGCAGGATTTCCTACAGAGAAGAAAAGGAGGAATTCTGCATTGTTTTTACAGAAGAGAAGAGGATGTTAGTCATTCTGTTTTCCCAGAGAGAGATGTATTGGTTAACTTACATGGTTCTTGGGCTTGAATAATCCAGCTACAGTTCTGATTATTTGGGTATACTGCTGGATACAGAGGAGAAGAAATGGCTGCACCAACTGAATCAGCTTCTAAGACACTTCCACAAGCTTTGGAGTAATAAAAAATATGCAAAAGTTAGAGTGGCTGAACTGCAATGAAATTGTCCCTTTCTTAAAAGGATCATAGTATAGATCTCAATGTGAGTGAGTTGGCACAGTCTAGCCAAAAGAGACTTGGTCACAGCATAGATGAAAGAAGTCTACTAGTATCTATCATTCTCCACTTAAAACTTCACACAAAAAAGCCTGTATCTAGAAAAGTGAGCCACAAAATCAAAATATAGTTGGGAAAACACTGAACCAAAGGAGACTATCCGCTCAGAGACAACATACACATACAAGTTATACATCTGCAGAGCTACACTGAATGTGCCTCTTTTCCAGGATTCACATTTGTGGGAATTCAGCTCGTCTGATGAATAGACTCTGAGGATGAGGGCAGATTGCTACTGTTTACTTTCTACAACCATGTATTCAACACAATATGAACAAGCTCCTGATAGGATTGTGTGAGAAATCTGGTTTGAATTAGCAATGCAGGTTTTTTTAAGCATTAAAAAGAATCAGCAACTATGCAAAATGATGTTTTGGATATATAGATTTTATATCAATTTCTTTAATATATATTTTTAATTGTAAATATTTTCCAATATATGGTTTTTACACATAATTTTCACAGATACAGGCATAATTTATGCAGTTTCTCTGATGCCTGGTTTTAATATAATTGCCTCAACATATGCTTTTAAAAACTGAAAACAACATAAATAAATGTTTAGAGTATGAAATGTAATATAGAAATTGAAGCAATATAGTCTTTTTTGAATGAGTCTTCTGAATAAACACTCTTTTTAGGACCTATCTTTTCTAAATTAACACATTTCTTACTGGGAAATTATGTGTGTTAATGAAGTGTTTGCAGCAAAATGTTTTGATGAACTGTGCCCATTCATTACCCCAGGATTTTTTTTTTTTTTTTAACATTCCTAGTTCTTTCCAGATAGTCCCTAGAGAGTGGCTGCTCTGGATACTTGGTGGGCTCAGGGAGCTGTTGTCAGTGATACTATATCACTGGCATGGACAGCCAACATTTGTGATGGTTTTGGGGAAAAATTAATTGATTTTTTTAGAGATTAGAGTGTGTGTGTGTATGTGCACGCGCACCTTTGAGTCAGTCTCGACTCCTGTCTGGACCAGTCCCTGCAGTTTTCTTGCCAAGATCTCAGAAGTGGTTTGCCCTTGCCTTCTTCCTAGGGCTGAGAGAGAGTGACTGGCCCAGGCTCACCCAGCTGGATTTGTGCCTAAGGCGGGACCAGCATTCATGGTCTCCCGGTTTCTAGCTTGGTGCCTTAACCACAACACCAAACTGGCTCTCATTTCAATTTTTTTTAAGGGTACAATTGCAAAAATTGAAAAAAAATATATCCCTAAAGGTATCATTTTTGGCCTCCATCTAGAGGCCACACCTGGGGTGCCAATAGACCTGCATGAGGGCCACCTATTGCCTATCTGTGTCCCAGAGTATTGAGACACTATATGCACTCATCTGAGCTTGACTTGACCCAGCTATACAGTATTTCAACTATATTTCTTCACACAGTTATGCCATGTTGCATATAACACTTCCAGCAAAAAAAAGTTTTCATTAAGTTGCTGTTGTCTTAAAAGAATCAAAAGCCTTAATATCTAAATACCTTTCTGGACAAGGAGTGCTAATCTAGATTTTACATCACAGAGAAACTTGCCTTCAGTGAACCAAGCTCGAAAGCCTCGGAGATGTATAGATGCATCAGAGCGAAACCGCACAAACATGGTATTTTGGGTAGATGTGAAAGGGGGAGGCTGCTGCCGACCACAGACTTTTCCAAGAAGTGGAGCTTCCCTATTTGGACCATCAAAAACCTGTATGACAGAGGAGTCAATGGAACTTTAGAATCATGTAGTTTAGCTCCCACAGTTGGCAACATAAACAACTCCAATGTTCTACAAGTATTTGCAATATATTATATGAACCCATTACCTGCAAACATGAGTCTCCCTATGCAGTACCAGCCTGCCTGTGTCTTAAAGGCTAGCAGGAGACTCTCCTTCAATTCTTTTCATATTGACAATGCATTTGATGCACATTAAAAAAGGTTGGCATTTCCATTGTTCAGTTGTGCCCTCCATTTTGATATGGCTGACCTTCCCTGCTCCTGGTTTCAATATGAGAAGGACCCATTTATTTGGAAATTTGCAAAATATGAGCAGTTATAGCTATGCCTGTTCATTGTTGTAGTGGTGAAAAGGAGGGGAAATATCCAGAAAGAAACAGCGCTGCAGCTGATTCAGAAATAAGTTACTTCTGCTCTCTCAAACATTATCAACAATATGGGCTCACAGAGGTCTGGAGCTGCTTTCAGATTGATTAAGATTAGTTGTACGGAAGTATGTGATGTAGCTGAACACATGGCTTAAAACAGGGTGTTACCCTAGCCAACTGTCACTGATTCAACAAAACATATTCAAGTAAGACATGTCTTGGTACAATGTGTGAACCTATTCTTTCTGTGCTTACTAGAGATAGTAGATTCTCTGTTCAGTGTCCTTTTGAACAGTAGACAACTGGCTACAAATTCACTTTTTTTTTTTTTTTGCATGAGATGAAAACTTTATTTCCCCTAATATTTTTTTTGACTAAGCTGTCCTTAAAAAATAAATAAATATTATATTCCTTTTCCTTTTCTTGTATTTTGGATAATTTACAGTCCTTGTTTATTATTCAGAGTCTTGCTTTGTACATCACCTTATATCTTTAGCAATAATAATAAAATAAAGTTTATTTTAGTGCAACAATTACAGACTAGTATTTGGTTATGGATGTAACTGGACATTACTCAGATGTATGCATTTTCCACATACGTTTTGCTGGAACTTTATAGATAATAATACATATATAATATGTAATGTATAATATATAATATATAATACATATATATTAATTATTAAGTGAATTTTAAGTGAAGTTGTATTTGCACTATGAATCAGACTCAGTATGTAAATGTCAGGTACCCAATACAAATCTAAAATAAGGCAACCCCCATTGTGAAACATTATTAATTAAGCATTAATTAAAACTAAAAATCTCTAAATAACTACACTCTGTTTTGATTTATATCCAATTAGATGTTTTTAAAAAAGGAATGTTTGTTTAAAAACATTGAAGTAAGCCAATCATTTTTTCCATGCATATTTTGAGAGTGACAGGCTTTTTTTCAGGTGTAGTAGAAGTTCTGAATTTTAGAAATGGACCCTGGATATGTTTTGAACAGCTGCACAATCTGTATGAAGTTGACGGACGAACTAAGATGTAATGAGCGAAATACGTGGCTTGCTTCCAACTGTGTTTGCTTTGCCATATGAAGCATTTGCAAAGGTTTATTGCTAAGTGAGAGAAAGTATTTCCCTGAAAATGCCCCTTCCCCATCATTTTAAAGGGCCTCTTCGATCTAGCCAAGTTCTGTAAACTCACTAAGGAAGAACAGATGGAAAACATTTGTGAAAGGACGCAAAGTACATAAAAGGGAAGAGTTTTTCCAGCCTGCTATGAGTGTCTTTCCATTCTGCCCTAACTCTCCCTCCACTTGCCAACTCTAAGATGAGGCTTGCTTTCCTTGGTTAATGACTATCTTGGCCCTGAGGCTGAAGACACTTCAAACAACCACCACGAGAGGTTAGTCACTCAGAACAATCTGCATTTTATTATCAAAAATGGTTTACTTTAGCAACAAAGACAGCCTTTGCTAACAAAATTAGAAATACAACTGGTAAACACTCTCTTCAAGCCATTAACTGGGTATATTAAAGGAAAACTGTAAGTTTTCTACAGATGTTTTACAAAAGTCAATTGTCTGATACAATAGGTCAGCACTCCTCTGTCAGTGTTTCCCAGAATTCTGGGAATTGAAGTCCACACATCGTAAAGTTACTGGGGCTGAGAAACACTGCAATAGGTATAAAAGCCCAGCATACATGCTTTCTCTGTTGACTGCATAATTGATTATGCAGAGAGGCACACTGTAAAATGCAAATCGGCAGCATTTTGCAAAAGGGGTAGCTGTGGGTGGCCCTTTTCATAGTGCCATGCCTCAACATTCTCTTATAGCTAGTTATCCAGATCTAATATTGCTACTCTGATCCTTCTTTTTCTCTCCTCACTAAAAAAAATCACTGCAGATGCTAGATTTTCTGGAAATCTACTGCATGTGGCATTCCTGTGGGGTGTAACTTTGTAATAAGTGACACTGTAGGGAGGTTTTAAGAGGAACTTGAGTCAAATGATCCCAACATGTCAGAAATCAGCAGAATGTTATAGTTTTGCAAACCCTATTCTCTGGTCTCTTGGTTGCTGCCGGAAAAAACAAGGAAATGGGAGAATAGCTTAAGATTTTTTCTGCAGCAAACTCTTTGCTTCCCCTGAAGGTACCTCATATTCTTGATCCTGTGCCTAAAACTTCTCCAAATGTTATTTTAGATTATAAGGCTGTAAAATAACATGGATAAATTATTTAGAAGGTGCATCAATTTTGTTGTTTTTCCAAGTGAGATTTCTTGAACGAACAAACAACTCAAGTTAGCATGAATATTGCTACTGTTTCTTTTTTGTCATAAGCATCAATGTGATAACAACCTGGAAACTTTATTAAAACAGAAAGAGAGGGGCAAGGGAGAAAGGGAATGGAAAAAGAAACCTACTATTATACTATAATATCATGCATCCCGAACTAAGAAGCTTATTGCCCAGTGCTACAATTGTCTACTCTCTCTCTTGATGATTTGAAATAAATTTTGCAATCACAAATGGATGTGTGCTCCCTGTTTGATTAGATTATTGTGACTTTCCCTCCATATGGGATGAGACTACAACTCCCCAAATTCCAAACTATGCTAGTTGAAGAATTCTGGGAGTTTGGGTACCAGCACATCTCCAGAGTACCAGGTTCAAGAAGGCTTGGCTACAGTCACACAGCACAACTTAAAACTAAACAGTTCCTGTCATAGGAAATGAATGACTCACATTTACTGGAACTACAGACCATATTTAAAAACAGATCATAAGAAGTTATTACTATAAAAGAAGCTAGCATGGTCTACTGCAATCAACTTTTGATTTGATTCAGTTTTGGAAATCACACTTAAAAAAGAAACAAGAAAATAAAGAACCAGTACTACAATATGGTGCAAAATACTGTAGTGTCTTCCTTCTAGGAACATAATTGGCTTGCCTATTCATAACAATTTTTAATTTATAAATTTGTAATTCTATTTCATTGTAAATGGAAAGCCCACATTTGGAAGTTGTACTATTCTTACTCATATAAATGACTGCACTGAAATCCAAGGTGACATCTACACTAATAAGTAAAGCAGCAACTGACACCTTAAAATTATGTTATTTAAAAAATACAGGTAGTCCTTGTTTAGTGTCTGCCTCATACAATGACTGTTCACAGTTACGATGGTGATGAGAAAGTAAATTTGCGACCAGTCCTTGCATTTATAACTTTTGCAGGTCTGTAAAGCAAAGGAAAGCTGAAGTAAGATCATAACCACACTTGTGGTTTCACTTAGCGACCATTTCACTTAACAACCCAGTTGCCAGTCCCAATTGTGGTTGCTAAATGAGGACTACCTGTAACAATAAAATCCGTTTTAAAAAAAGGATCATTTCTAAAGTGCACTTTTCACTCATAATTATCCTTCAGGGTCAAATACCAGCGTGTGGTGGGTGTCCATGTATGTGTGTGTTAGTGGATGTCATATTTTTAGAAGGGAAATGTTAAAATGGAAAGAGTTTACAAGGAATAACAATCCTTTAGTGGTTCCTATCTGGATTAGTGAATGGTCATATTTGGATTAGTAGGAAAGAAAAAGGGGGGCATATTTTGGATGAGGGTGAATCTTTGATTTCAGTTTTCCAGCTTTTGATGATGATCTCTTCCACATGGCAGCCTTAAGCTGCTTGTCTCCCATGCTGATACTGCAGGAAATTTAGCTGACTTTAAAAATCCCTACATGGATTTCCAGCTTTGACAATGATGCTGACCAGGTGATCTATCTAGAGAGCAGTGATCACAGTTTCCAATTCGTGGAATCCCCTCTTTTTTCACCTCTCCCTCCAGTGCCAGGAAAGCAAGCACCAGTTGCTCTCCTTTCTTGGTTGGGTCTTTGAGGACACATGGTTTCTCTGTGAATGAGCAAACAACATATAGGGGAAGTGACTGTAGAGTGACTAGACCAGTGTTTTTCAGACTTGGCAACTTTAAGATGTGTAGATTTCAACTCTCAGAATTCCCCAGCCAGCATGCTTTTCTCCCTCTTCTTTATGATATGCGAACCACCAATTTTGCCTTAGCAAAATGTGGATCACCTTAAACCAGGCTATGACTGTGGTCTTGAAATTCTACCTTTTTTAAACTCAGTGTGGCTTGGACAAACTGAATTCCCAAATTGTTGTCCTCCATTATGACAGCATTTGACAACAATCAGCTTATCTTAGTGTATTCAAAGGCATTGGGCAAGGTTGGCATTCTAGTCATTGCTGAACTGAAAACCCAGCATCCTAGTCAGCCTTGCCAGGGCCAGAGGAAGCTGAGCATTGTAATTCAGCAATACATTGCAAATTTTCCAGTGCTGGTCCTAGATAGAAAAGGATAACCCACAAGTGCTGGAAGCCATTTGGTAAATGGACCTCTCAGTGTCATAGGGTGAGGTGTCATAAATGCTGGTTCATTAACTCATGCATCACCACTTAATAATTTGCATATATCCTTGAGACACTGTACATCGTAGTCCACAGTCAGAATGTTACTGTTACCATGTTGATTGTCACAAATGCAATAGAAACTGCTTTTAATAGAATCACACTCATAGCCACCCATGTCGCTCAGAGCATTTCGCAATAGAGAAATTAGCTTACGTGCATGTGTTTTCTGTCCTTTGAAATTTTATGTGATGGATTTTCATAATTGTCATTGTTAAGCCAATAGGGTGGAGTAACATTTTATTATGTATTTTCTATAGAAGTGCACAAAGTTTAGAACAGCCAGAGTAGGCCAAGTCTCTTTTTGATATCCCACTTACTGTTTAGGAAGGATGTAAAAGTACCATGTATGTTCAACATTGAATGCAAGTCAGATATTGGAGCGTATGGATTTCCCATATCCTCTCTTCCCACCCCTCATGGGGCCAAAGGGCAATGTGAGCTGTTCTTGTACCAAGCTTAATCCCAGAACATGAGATTAAATCAGAACAGCACACCGCAATATTAACATTACTCACTGCAACATAATCATAGCTGCATGTCCTGTGAGACTCTATCTGTACATCTGTGAAGTTCAGCTCAATACGGTGACCCTCATCAACACGGAGGACCCAAGAGCAGTCTGTGTTGTTGCTGTAAGGTTGAGGGTAGTTTGGAGAGTAAATTTCACCTTGCGGAACTTGGAAAACGCCTCCGCAGCCTAGAAATGATAGAAATAGTAGAAATAGTGCTACATTCTCTTTGACAGAGATAAATGTTTATTTTAAAAATGCTTATTTTAATGTGCATTTAATAAAAGTCTTATTAAAGTTAGATGAAATGGAACAAACATATAGGCTCCTCTTTAACTGATGGGTTGGTCAATAAGCAACAGGTTTTCTAAATTCTATATTGTGACATATGTCTTATCAAACAGCAGTTTGAATTAAATGACCATTAAGCTTCCTCCTTATTCAATTAACTGAACCTCTATGAAGGCTTTCAATTTGTAGAGCTGAAAAGCCATGTTTTAATTCACTCCATAAGCATTCTCTGGGGCAGCAGCAACTTTCTGATAGCCAGAGGTTCCAACCATCTTTTGTGGGGCTTGTGGTAAGAAGATGCAAAGTGAGAGGAGCCAGGATTTCTGATATATTTTTCTTGGTTCTTTGGAGAGCTTTGCAATTTTTCTATTTGTGTACATGTGTGTGCGCGCATTAGAAGTACCTCAGGGAACTGAAAAAAGGCATTGGGGACCATAGGTGGCCTTGGACTTCTAGATGCCCAACCCTAAACATCTGTAATATCTCCATTCAATAATAAAAAGCAGGCTATTAAAGTGATTCTTTGGAATTTGGTACATTATAACCACTTTAAAAAGTGTTTGAATCTGATTATATATGTATGTATGTGTAACAGAGAGAGAGAGAGAGAGAATTCTATTTTACTCCTCACAATGCATCACAGGTCTGCTCCCATCACCCATCACGCACAGCCATTCTCACCTCCTGCTATCTCTTCCCAGCTGGCATTGAATCCTTTTCTGTTCATTCTCCCACTTGTTTTGAACCTGACTGTAACTGCATTTCCAGTGCTAGAGACATACAGAGGATTCTGTAATGATCTTGGAATGCAAAGTTGGGCCAGCCTAGGTGAAGATAAGTCAGGTCCACCATAGATCTAGAAGGACATATGAAAAAACAAAAACAATGTTATATAGAGAATGGATAAACAGCCAACATGTAAAAGTAATCAAGAAAGTTCTATAGCTGAGTGTTAAAGACAAGAGTAAAAGGCAATAAAAATGTTTTAAGGGAAGAACATGATATCAGGTATTATCTTGAATATTTCTGTAAGATTTTGGCAGTGCAACTGGATCTGGAGCGCAAAGATTGGTATGATCTCTAGATGGCAGCAAAAAGCAGGAAACTAATGCTTTATTGCCATCTAGAGATTGCATGGATTTTTGCAGCCTAAATCTGGTGGCTATATTTTGGGAATATAATAAAACTATCAAATGTTACATGTCTTACTTTACTTTAATTGTTCTCAGTACCTTTTTATTTTATTCAAAGGATTATTTTGATATTTTATAGTTTACCACTCTTATAGCATTTGATTTTGCCAACTTTGTCTACTTTGATAATATTCAAACTAATCAGCTATAATTTATAAGCATTTATAGAAGGAAATCTCATCAGATTTTTTTTTTTTTGAAGTAAAGGCTCTTTGGTAATATTTTGTTCAAACACATACTATGCACACATGACAACTGAAAATATTTAGCAATTTACATTCATAATTTATATTCATATTAATTTTATCATTCAATAAATTTTTCATAATTTGCAAAAATGGATACTCTTGATAACAGCTACAAATGTGCCTAAATATATAAACTTTGTACCATGTACATTTTTTTACCTCCCAGGATTTTTCTTCTAAACTCTAACACAAAGTTTATAACTAAATATGTGCAATTTTCAGAATTAATCTACTCAATCCTAGATAACAAAAGTATCAGCTATATTTATTTCAATTCATTCTGTTTGAATGTAGTTATCACATCTGAAATGGTACACCCTGCCGTGCCCTTCCTTTTTATATTAAACAAAATAGAATCCCCATATTTTCCCAAGGAAAATTCTCAGTGGAAAGAACAACACAACCCCTTTAATTCCATTGCTTTGATTCATGCAGGATGTAAAAAAAACAAGTAGACATTAAATCACCATTTTTTCCAAAGTGTACAGAAATTATGAGTATTTTTTCTTCAGTTTAGTTAACTGCTTATTATACTCATTCAGAAGTCTGAGATACTAACAGCATTTTGGTTTTTGGAAGAAAGAAATATCATTTTGACTTATAATTGATTTGCTATTCTACCAATTTTTGAAAGACATTATGAATATATTAACATGAATGTAATTGCTGCTAACATTAGATCTCTTTTAAGGGAATGGAGTGTGCGTTTCTGTATTGTGAGCAACAGCATCCATGGGGGGCAGGAGGTGCTAGGAAAAAAATGGAGATGGTGGCCGCATACACAAGATTAAAACCTTGCCCCTTTTAATGTGTATTTTACAGACTAGTTTCATAAAAGTCTTTCCTCAAGACTACAAAATCTCAGCTGCAAAAACTGGGATGACCACAAAGTGTCAGCATAAAATTAGAGGTAATGACATCTTTTTGCTGCCATCTAGTGGTTGTCCAACTTTCTGTAGTCCCGATCAGGGAGCCTTTCTCTCCTCCATCCTCTGAGCTCTGTGGAAATGAGCTTGTGCAAGCTCTAGCATTTCTCTAGGAGGAGAAATGTCAAGATTAATTTTCACTGTGCCTAACTCCTGCAAATCAAGAATCGTGGTTTCAAAGGCATTTTAGTGTTCTAAACAAGCCAGGATCTGTGTCAACTTATTTAACAAGGAAACCTCAATTTATTTTAAAAACACAATTCTTAATATACATATAACAGTAATCTGGGAATCAGGCCAAATGAAACCAAGTGTTCCTCATTCTGCTCAAGAAGGGGAAGTATGCAGTTCCATGACTGTGCTTAGACTCCTTTCTGGTCACACATTGTCAGGAAGATTAGATCAAGAAACAGATGCTGGGTAGGCCTAAAACTACTTTTATTAGAATGGCTATAGTAACAGAATCTTTTAAATCTGAATGTGCTTCTCCTCCTCCCCTTTTTATCTTTGTGTGAATTCTGGGGGCACCTGCCTTAGGCATTTCCGTAAATCTCTATCTCAGCATGGGTTTAAGCCATGTTTATCTGTTTATTGCCTTTTAATGAATTTTCCCTCTATCTGTCAAGGCCATCCCCTCTACTCTCTCCACACGTATAGTAGCACTGAATACATTCCCCTGCTTTCTCCTGACTCCCTATATACATGCTGCTTGTATATTATTCAAGGTAGATATGGTGACATTCTTTCTCACTGGGTACTTTTTTCACAGTTACCACACCCAACCATCTATCGCCGAGGATTCTGGGAACTGAAGTCCACAACATCTAAAGGTTACTGAGACAAGGAAGGCTTCTTGGACTACCCCAAAATTTTAGGAAGAATAAGAATCTGGTTGCATGAAATGTTTGAGTAGTGTATCAGTGGAAGATACTTCTTTGAATTATAATTAATGATAATAATACTAATTCAAAATCAATCGTGAGTGAATAGTTAAGTAGGGCTACCGTATCTGGGCTGCAAAAATCTGGAAACCATTAAATGGCAATAAAGAGGTAGCATTTTCCACATCCTTTTGCTTATCTGGATGTCTGGAGCTCAGGTGCAATAGTCCTAGAATTAAATACCAGAATGTTGCACTGCCAAGTAATCTCCCTGAAGCCCCCAGCCACGCCTTCAGGTGTAGTAGAAGACACTGTTCCATACTGAGTGGCGAAGTCAGATTCAGCTGCCAGTCCAGATGGGTTAATAGCACAGATAGTGGAATATCTTGGGCCAGGCCCATGCGAAGTGTAATGGGATGTGAGAATAACCTTGAGGAACAGAAGGAAGAGCCACAGCCAAGACAACGTTCAGATAAGAAAAATCTGAGTCCAAAGCAGAAATGTAATTTGAGAAAACTTGACCCTCCCTAGTTCTCTTTAGGATAAAGCCGGGCAGGGGGAGGCACATTCAGACTTGAAAGATTCTGTTACAGTAACCCTATAGTAAAAGTAGTATTAACATTCATTACTTTGGTTTCCTTGTCTGGTCTACTTTGAAGGGCTGACACAAAGGGATTCTAACCCATGAGGTAGATTATAAATAGAGCTAATGCCTTGCTGAAAGATAAGGATTGCTTTCATCTTGAGTCATCCAGTTACAATCAAAATTCCAAATTATTGCATGAGAAGAAGGCTTATCAGCTTTTTATAAGGAAGATCCCCAACTGTAGTATGTATTGGCACTATCCCCAGAAATATACTGAAGGTTCCAGAACTCTCCCTTCCTCCTTCTTACTGAGGATGAACCTTGATCCTTGATAGCCACAGATATTTGTTGCTCTTTTCTCCAACTCCTCCAGAACGTTGGACTGCCAAGTCACCTCCCTGCACCCCCCCAACTACACCTCTTCCTCCTTCAGGAAGAAAAGCTTGCATTTTCCCATCGAACAGTTGTTTGATTGGTTGGGAGAAATACCATGGATCTGGGGATGGATTGATTAAGAGAAAGCCTGACAGAAATGTCAATCTTCAATGCATGAAGAATAATTAGTGGGGGAGGAAAAATGTTCCTCACCTCTTAGTGATCCTAGTTGAGACTGACTGATCAAAAAAGTAGGCTTTTCTCTGTATGCCACAGAACTCAGAAAAATAGCCAACCTGCTACAAACCCACATTAAGACCCTGGTAAGAAGTTACCTATTTGAAGCTTGGATCAAAGCACAGACAGAAGGTGCAGTGCATCTAGGTAGACATTTTCCTTGCCAGGACTATTATCCAGACAAGCAATCTATTATCTGGAAAATTGCACAGGAAGAAAAGGTTAAAGCCCCTTTTCTCACACCTTGGGCCTGATCCAGCATGTCCAACCCTATCTCCAGCATGACAAACAGCTGCTCTTCATAAAATATATATATAAAAAAAACTGACTAAAGTTTTGGGAATATCCATGGCCACCTCTAGCTTGCCTTTCATTTGTTTAATGCCCTTTTAGATTACCAGCCAATTTCACAATTGCTCTTTGTACTGTTCAAAACTGGACTGTTATTTCAAAAGACAAGCATCTGAGGAGTGGTTTGGAATCCCCCTCTGTTCTCTGTATGCCAGTTCAGCTAATCAGTTCCTTTCATAAGGCTGGAACAGAAACAAGGCCAAAGTGTTTCTGTAACTTTTTTTTTTTTTTGAAGTGACTTTTGGCTGTAAGAGGAAAAGCCAATTGTTACCACATGAGTCTATTAAAAAAAAAAACACTTCACAGCAATGGAAGGCTGGAATATATATCAGGGTGTGGCCCATGCAGAAGTGTCATATGCCCAGATCCAATGAAAAAAAGCTGTCCAGCTGGCACATATAACAGATTGCAAAGGATGCAGAGGAAATCCATAAAGCCTGGGGATCTCATCTGATTTTGCCATTTGCTTCTGGTCTGTTAGCACCCCTTTTGTAGCAGCTGCCAACAATCCAGTGTTATTTGGTAATCCTATGTTACCAAAAGGCCGTTTTATGTGGCTGACCATCCTCACAGCACAGATTTTTAGCAAATAGGATGCGGCCCTTCTGAGATGAGAAGGCTCTACTTGCTCAGAGAAAATGAGAGGGTTTAGGAGAAGCAAATACAAGGTTTCATTGTTTTCCAGCATTGCAGACTCATCAAATCTGCTTTGAAGACATGAAATAAATGAATGCATTTTACAGGGTGTGTTCCAACAAAGATCTCTCTAATTTCTAAATGGCATTGTCATCTTGATATTGCAGCAATGAACATTGTGAAATGGTAGCAGCCTGAAATTGTCAAGTAATCATATGAAATCAATTGTGACAGATATGGGTGATTTCACACTGTCAGTGTAATCAGTGTCTGAGGGCACTTTGACAGATTTGCTCTTGCAGTGAGCATTACATTGTCTTTGTGGATTTTTTTTCTGGGCCAGACTCTTAGATGCTGATATGATGAATAGTCTCTCACTGGGGAAAAGGCTGTTCAGAACTATTACTTCAACCTAGCAAGAAGCCCACAAATGACATAACTCCTGTGTAGGAAAATTGCACAGAAATATTAACCACAGGCTCATGAACTGTATAACACATAAACAACTGGGACAGAATCTGCCTTTCTGGCTTTTTAAAGATCTTCCAGAAGCACTGTATCTTTTAGGACTCCCCAAATCCATGGTACTTCTAGGGCACCAAGATTTTCTGCACCTGTTCTTAACTCGCTATAGCATCTTCCATAGCACACTTCCTGGGTTTGTGTTCCCAAAAGTTTCAGTCATTTTGGGGATGTATCATAGGGTTAATCCATATTGATAGACCCTATGCTGGTTGGTAGGCCATATGTTTTATCCATATTAACTTATGTGATCATACAGCACATGATGGGGAGAATCTCTTTTCATAATACTAGTCTATATGGATCAATAGTCTGACATGTTAAAGCTGCCTCATATGTTCTTTCCCGGCCTTATCAGTTCTGGCAAGCCTCTTTCCCTTTTTCGTATTCGAGTTATCCTGATGATCATTTCCCCAAAATATTAGGTGGGAACACGGATGAACATACTTTGTAATATGAGACCAACTCCCTTGGATTCATAATGGCTGGTTTTGTACATCATGATAACAAGTAAGCCAGTTTCTTTAATGATGGTTTGCTGAATAACCCATAATAGTATGGTGGTTTGCTCAATTACAAACAAGGAACCTACATTATAGTGTGAGATATACACCCAGCCAGGGCATTTATATAACAATAACAGGAATAACTGGACCTTGGCAGCAGATTGATGTAGAATTAAGAAATATTAGGAACAAAAGTAGGAATTAATGTTAATACTTGCAGTTAATGTTAATACTTACATTAACATTAATTTAGTTCAATTTAAGGTTTCAAAATATTCTTGTGCGATCATATCACTTCTGCACAGGAAAACATGAACAATATAAAATGAACTCCAGTGGGCAAATGTTAGCTACTATGATCATTTTGCGTATCTATGTGGTAACTCATGACAAACCAAGAAAAAAACAATGCCTGAAGCATTATTGCATTTCATGTTTATCTTTATGGATCAATATAGGCTTCTTTATAATCTTCTGCTTGTTTTAAGACAGGAGTGAGAAAATGGCAGAACAACATCAAGCACAGCAAGACGGTAAAGAATGGTAGGCACTATCATTTAGCAAAATCTGGTGATCTATGGGCTCTCCAGTCCTGAACTGACATTATAGCAAGAAACATCATTATGGTCATAATTAAAAGTGAAGTATGAGTTCAGCAGTGTCTGTGAGGGATGGGAGTGGGGAGTATAAAAAAAAAAAGTCAAGATGGCAGTCATAGAGAGCTCTGAAACAGCAGGGCTCTGATCATGTAGCATAACCACCACCTTTACTTTTTTTGACTTCCTCTGTGGATTCTGCTGATTGAGCCAGACCTTGGCTCGAAAATAAAACATTAAATAAGTTATAATATTAACCATATATCTGAACTTAAAACAAAAATGTGTTCAAACTTGCTTACAGAATATAAAACTAAGAATACTGAAATATAATAATACAAACAAATAATGGATTTTTTAATACCATGGGCATTCAGAAGATCTGAAGTTCCCATAGATTATCATACTGAAATAAAAGCACCTACCTCCAGAACATTATGGTTGCAACTTGAATTATATTCCACATCAAATTCCAGAATAGTCAATTGAATGCTACTACCTGGGGCTGTGTGAATATACCAGTGACATTCCCTATTCTGCGGGTCCTTATTTGGATAGCCAGGGCTATGGAAAGATCCAGATGGCTCAGAGAATTCTTCACCACACCCTGAAAAAAACAGGCAACACTGTTTAGAAAAGCAGATGATGATGATGATGATGATGATGATGATGATGGCGGCTGCCCACTCCAGCAGACTCCAAATCCAAAAAAATGGTAAAAATGGTTAAAAACATAAAACATAGACAGCCTAACAAGGTTGGAACAAATTTAAAGTATCAAAACGTACACACGTGCAGGTATAACAGCTTTACAATAAAAATGCCTTTCATACAGCCCTGTTGATCTCTAACATCTTTTAAATCGCTCTTTACCATCACTTTTTAAAAATAGAAATCTAGTATTGTACCATTTCATTATTGTTCCAGTCACTTAAGGTAGAAGGATTTCACCCCCATCTCTAAAATTGCCCACATACCTGATTGGAAGATGAGGGTGAAATCCTACCTCAGGTGACTGGAAATGCAATGAATTGGTGCACCACTGGATTATTTTTTTTAAAAAAACCCACAGGAAAAATTAGATACAGTAGCTCAGGAAAAAAATAGAAATGATAAAATTTTGTTGGGCTTCAAACTAGCAACCTTCTATTTACAAGGCAAGTGTTGCAACCATTGTGCTATTACAACATTCATGATGAAGGTAGCTCTAAAATATTTTAGAGATGATGATAATCGTTGGCTTAGTTGAGGAGTATTCCTGCCTCTACAAAGTAGCCAATGAACTACTGCAACAAACTGAAGCACACTATCTAAAATATGCAGGAGCACTTGAGGCAACCTAATATAGAAAAGTGTAGCTTGAAGTTGAGCAGAAAAATGCACCCAGAGATCACTCTGATAGTGAGTGGGGGATTAACAGATGATGTTGCCAGCTTGTAGTAGTGACAGAGCAACTAAGCAGTCCTATGTTGCATTCCAGATCATGGAATAGGAGGCCATGATATTGATTTATTTGCTGGGCCTAATTCTATTTGATTATTGATGATCAAATAGATAATTGATTGCTTTGCTGCAATATTATACTACTAATTTTTTTATTAGGTATTTAACTTAATTGTTGTATTACTAACATTCTAGAAATTTTGTTTGCTTTGGAGGTTTATGAGCAGAAAAACAATTTAGAGATATTAAAATATCTATTAATCCCCAAATCCAAAGAAATGAAAATTTAATGTAAACACTGAATAGGCAGAATATTATTTTACATATTTCATCATGGATGTGATAGGAATACTGACTCAGAAAAAAAAAATGTCTGCATCAAAATGGATAGTCTGTTGTGTGAGAATATGGGAATGTCTGAAGAGGTGTGACTATATAGGAGGCCCTATCTCATGTCAGCACCACTTCAGGAATGTGATATGGAACATGAACAAGTCTACCATGGCAAGCTTGGTAACAGATATTCATACGTTTACAAATCTCCAAGTTTCTCTCTGTCTAGAATGAAAATATCATGGACACTTTGGAACATAGACTGATTTTACCAAACCCTTCTAGTTTTCCTATATTGCCTTTTTTTAAAATCTAGTGGAATTTGTGTTGTCTCTTAGAATCTTAGCTTTGTGCAGTTAAAACTATTTTGGAAAAAAAAACCACACAAATTCGGTGTCTTCCTTTAGCAAAAGCACATAAAGAATTCCCTTATATTTTCAGTGAGTCACTATTAATGTCAGTCAGCTGCTTTTTACATGAGGAGGAAAAAGATTAGTCATATCTGTCATTTCACTGCATTTGGTCTCTTGGGAAACAAAAGTCTGTGATTTTAATTCAAACTGCTCTTTTATCTATTTAGATATTTAAAGGAATGGTTGAGATCCATGCTCTGACAACATATGTCGAAGTCTGGTTCATTAAGCAGGCATGAAACATTGACTCATTCTGGGGAAGTAAGAAGAGCTCCTGGGAGGATGTGGCTTCTTCTCAGTTTTGCATAGGTGGGAGCAGAATGACCAGCTGTTATCCTTCCAAGATACTGGAGTCAATGGCTTAGGTGATGTCATTTTCACAGCATACAGCTGCTGTTCAAGAAATGTGCACGGTTTATGCTAATCTATGTCTGGAACTCCAGTCCACATTTTATCACAGCCTTTTCCAGCATGAAGTTCTTCAGATGTGTGGAATTAGAATTCCTATCTTCCCTAGCCATAGTTAGCATAGGAGATTACGGGGAAGTGTAGTATAATACATTGCTGGGCACCAGATTTGGGACAGCTAGTCTATACAAACAAATTTGTATGAACTTATTTAAGCATTTTTCCTCCCAATTATACCATAGTGTTTTATTATTATCTCCTTTGATACTAATGCTGTATTGGCACTAGAATTTAGCCCATCACTGTTTTGATATTTCAAAAAATAAAGTTTTTAAAATGGATTTGCAGCTAACAAACATCAAATATAAAGTTAAAGATTAGCTCACACATAACAAGAAATCTTATTTTTTTTCCTGGATGAATGAAATTTGACATTCTTACTCATCCTTTCCTCTTCTTTTTCACAGTTGTACAGAGGAGACTGGAAGTTTCCTTTTTCTGTTTCTTCAACCCGATGAAAGGCTGGAAAGAAACAGTTAGAGACTCTTGTCTATCTGTCAGCAGGATAACTCTCTGAAAATAAGAGTGGAACAAGACCAGATTTGTGGTGCTGGGAGAAGCCAACCAAAAATAGTTCAGGTTCAAAAATGGGTTAGATTCAGCCAGGAGTTTCAGAGAAAAATATCCAGGAGAAAAAAAAAATCCCAAAGCACCCCTATCTGTGGGGCAGTTGAGCAGTGCTCCCATACTCTTCCCTCTTGGCCACATGACCCAGAGTGGGGTTGCTGTTAATGTTGGGGTTCTGAAATGTTAGAACAAAAACCATGAGGAGGAGAGAAGATCCATTCCTACCTCATGGAGAGCCATGAGGAGAAGGGAGGGAAAATGAGGGAAACAGGAAAAGAGGCGGGCTCCAAGCCCCACCCACACAAAGCAGCAAAGCTAGGCTGCAGCGAAGCCGCCCCTCCCATTGTGCTTGTGTGAGACAGGCTTGGTTGAAATCCCATATTTTCCATCTTCCAACTTAAGAAGTTGGAAAGAGTTCTCAAAGCTGTGCTGAGCACGCTTTCCCTACTTCTAAAATCTAGTCACAGCTTCATTAGGTCCCAGTTCTAGGAACTGTGGATTGCTTAAACAGCAGTTGATACAGTACATCTCATTAATGTGAATTTAGAGAATAATAGAGGCTTGCAGAATGATGGAAAGATGGCTAGCCACCCCCTCCCACCAAAAACTACTAGCACTCTCCATGAGTTAGCTTACATTCAAAAATGCAGTATTTGAAAAAGAAATTTTAGATAAATTGTGTAACATCTGGAGAATGAGGGAGAGAAACAGATGCCTCTTTCACAGGGGAAGCAAGCTTGCAGGCATCTGGAGATCAGTTTTCAGTAGAGTATAACCGAGCATAAATGTGGGGGTAAGAAAAGGAATTTGCTTTCACTAGTGCTGGGGCAGGGTATACAAGAAGGAAGTTACTGAAACTGAACCACTGTGGTTTGCATTTTGACTAGCCATATCTGATATTTCATGTGGAGTTTTTATGCTTCTGTTATTTGTACTAGCAAAAATAATCTCTTCTGTACTATTCCAATTATTTGCTAGAGTTTTATTAGGTGGCTGTAGATATAGTTCCACACTATGAACGTTGTTTCCTATTTCAACCTCATTTTCAAAGGTTTTTCATATGTACTGAGTTGCATTATCAATAAATATTAAAGGACACTAAATAAACGAATAAATGTGGATTCAAAGAAGTATCATGGTACTATCTGGAAGGTCAGAAGTCACAGTTGTGGTCCTGATCAAACACTGTCCACTGTTGATTAAGACCTCAGTAGGCAAAAGATTTAGAGCCTGACCTCTTGGTTCATGAACCATGGTGTCCATTATTACATGAACCATAGAAGCCTATAAGTTTCTGACAGCCCAGTTGCAAATAGGCCAAAATTCCAGGAGTAGTGTTCTTAAGATGCTGCAGCTACATTATTTTGTCAATAAGCAAATTCCAAAAGTGTACAACTTAAAGCGCAATGGATAAGCACATAAGAGTAATTCTAGTACTAATTACTATAATCTTATTATCTTTCCCTATTTCAGTAGGTGAAAGAAAATTTCTTATCAAAGGGAAACAGTGTAGATACAGTAAACATTTTTATGAAGATTAAACATTGTTATTATGGCCTTCCCATAAAATGACAAAAGGTTGTATGCATTCCATGATTATAAATATACTTAGAATTTCAAGGCCAAATACAATGTCAAGCAGATATTGAACTTTTAAAACTTCACTTCAAGGATATGTCCTTATCGTAATAATTCATATATCTTTTCTGCCTTAAAAATACTGATTTTTTTTCATTCTGTTGCACCAATATTCTACCTATAAAGTTACCCTGTTCATAAACAATTTATTTGTGTGCTGTGACAACATTGGTGTGATTTTCTTTTAGGGATGTGCAAATCAATAGTTTATTTAACAGTTGTGTTAACAGGAAAATATTTGAATATGTTGAGGTTTTTAAGAAAAACTGTAGAAACATATCTGTTACTGTTCTTCACTTTCCTTAACATATGGAGTGATTGGATATGCCTTCCCTAATTAACATAATTGCAAAAATAAATTATCTGATAACTTTTTTGTAAAACCAAAGTTTCCTGTGATCCTGAAGTTATTTTTAAAATTGCATTATTTATTCAGTTACCTTCTGGGATCTATTCCTTTGAATGTCAGCCATTAAAAATTTGGGCCATTACAAACAGGTTACTTTTCAAGATGCCCCAATACCTATTTCCTTTTTTTTTTTTTTTACTAGCATAAGGATGCCCCTTATCTTCAGGCCAACAGAATTTAAATGAACATTCATAGCAAAACAGAAATGTAATGGACCTTGGAACTGATGCCGCTTTTCTCAAGAAACCACATTTTTGTGTGGTTTAGTTTCACAGGAAGCTACCACAGGACTACTTTGGCAGCAATGTGCCGTAGTTCTGGGATAGAAAGAACTGG